GTGATCAGTCAAGTAGAAACAGTCGAAATATTTTATCAGTTTTCTCAATTTTTGCATGATATTTTCATACAGGACATCTGTTGTTCAAACTCAGGGAAGACTTTATACTGATGAACAAGGTGACCAAGTTTGATGAAGTTTGGAATAGAATTAGTAAAGTTATCATGCACACAATAACAATTATTAACGATGACGACAACGACGACAACGCCGGACAAAATCTTTCCCTTAATATACCTTTCCCTTCCATCTTTGATGGTACAGGCAAGGTAAAAATGCTAGTATTTCAGTGTCAGCCCTCCAACATTTCAAGAAATAAATAACCATTTATCAATATCCAAAATAGCCCTCTGAGCTTGTCCCAAGATAGTCTGAAGAAAGATTTTGTGGTAATGATGCCAGTTAAATATGTAATCATCCAATACCCTGTTTCCTGGGTGATTTTTTGGAGGATAGACTTCATTCTTTAGCACAATTTTTTTAACACTATTTTAATTTATTATAGCCTAAATACAGGGACTGCAACATATCAATATTGCCAACAGTATTCTCTCTCGTCACAAACTGTTGAAATTTCTGATATACGCCGGAAATACGCTGGTGGGCTGGTGTTAACCATAACTAGGCGATGGTAACACTTGATGGGCTGGCTGCCTACCTAAAACCCATTGTGGAGAACACAGCAGTGGCCATGAAAACAGTCAGTTGGACTCTAACAGCACATTGAAATTAAATCTCCACTAGATTTTTTTTATAAAATCGTGAATGGGCAGTGTATCGAGCAAATAAGATAGGAGACTTACCATGTAAAGCTAATGCCTCTCTAAAGGGTTGCATCTCAGTATCTGGAGATAATAATCCATCACTAGCAGGACTGAAGTGTCTAGGAGAACTACGATCATAACTTCGTAACGCTGTGGGTCGTGTTCTTGGTGGAACTGTTTTACCACAAAGAAAACCTAACAAGTCATCTCGACGAACATGTCGTCTTCTTTTTTTAGCCCATGTGACCATGTCCCTTGTTCTTCTCTGCTGACCAGTTTGGATTGCTAAATCTATTCCCCTTCTTTGCAATTCGAAGCAATCTGTGAAAATGAACATACAATTTAGTTTTAACAAGTGATTGTTAATAACATAGGTCCCGTTGGAATTAGGGGACATGTTATTCATGCCAAAAATAAAGTATTATGGACCAAAAGCATAGTTAATAATTTAGAATGAATAATTGTCCGGTTTAGAATCAAAAGAAATTAAATGTATTAAATGACTCTTTCAAAATCGTAATGTATGGTCAGAAATTAAACAGTATATGCTATTTATGATTTTTTTGTTTCTAAACTGAATTTTATATGTCATTGTTCATGTACAGATACGGAACACAAAACAGATCATTATGTACATGTATCTCAACAATGTATAATGTTTGTATCAAATTTAAAAGGCACAAGTTTTATCTCATCTTGGACATCAATGCAAATAATGCATTGTGCAGAACACAGTAAGTTACAGAATAAAAATGAAAGCATCTGAACTACAATTTATAATTAGCTTGAGTAAACTGTAAGTCTCAAGGTAAGAAAAGGTGTACAAAAATGGAAAGTAAACCTAGCAACATTACTTTTGAGTTAGCAAAGTATATAAAAATGTCAATGCCAATGCTAAATTACATACAGCAAGTTTCATGCAGCAAATTCGCCAACTACTTTGGTTTTAACTAAAGCAGAAGACATACTATTCAAATACTACCCTACACTCTGTCACAATCAAATGCTAGTCATCTCTAAATAACAAGATGGATAAGCTAACAATATGTTTACTAAGTCATGAGCTTTTACCAGACTGAAGTGAAAAAAGTTCCTTAAGGGCTACTCACCCCTAGCCTAAATCTGAACCCTAACACTACAGCCCCAACTCCAGACAACTACTAGTACATGTGTCCTGAAGAGAAGAATATACAACTAAAATAAAATGAGGAAGGGGCAATGGAGGGGCAAGGTGAGAATTAGAGTTATGGATCGAGTCTGTGTTAGTTAAATCAGGTCAAATCAGAGTTATCTATGAATTAGTGAGGAAGTTTGCTTTTATTTTCCAGTTATTTTAAAGGTCAACTAGGTTTACAACAGAAGCTGTATACACTGCTGCTGTCATATTGACGCAATGAAGCTAAATAAAGTTTTACCAACAGTCGTCGCACAACAAAACCTGTCGTATTCACTGAGCAAACATAGGCAACGATCATCAGACCCTATAGTCTATGGTTAGATTAGCTCCTTTTTACTTAGTGATTACCGGTAGCCATTAATTATCACTTCCTTGTTGTGTGTGCATATAAAATAATGTGTGCACTGCACTACAGTGTAGTTGTGTAGTAAAAGGTTGTTCAATCCACAATTTTCACATTTAAATCATCCAAGGGAATTTGAGAGTAGGGGTTTGCAACTCTATTTTTGATAAACAATAGGGCTAATTGAGCATAACAATGAATATAATAAAGGTGATTAACATATTATAGTACTATGCAAATTAACAAATATTTTCTGCTATTTTTTGTGGGGGACATTGTCTTGGCATTTTGGGACATTACATAATAACAATCAAAGAAAGCTTAGAAAGAACTCCCATGTGCTGAGAGTATTGGAGACACATTAAATATAATTCGAAATTACTTAGCTGAAAACTAATTATGCAAATCAGAAAATTAATATGACCAGATTTGAGTGTAAAACTAATGAGGTCTGCGCAATGTAACAGAAAATCTATGTCTCCAAGTTTAATTT